TGATCTGGACAAATTGGAGAAATGGTTCAAGAAAAAAAGGATGAAGTTGAATAAGGAGAAATGCAAAGTGCTCCACTTAAGAACAATCAATCCTGTGTCACACACACAGAATGAGAAGCGACTGTCTAGGAAGGAGTCCGGCAGGAAGGGATCTCGGGGTCAGAGTGGACCCCAAGCTGAATAGGAGTCAGCAGTGTGATGCCGTTGCTAAGAAAGCCAACATGATTCTGGGCTGCATGAACAGGTGTGTTGTGAACAAGACACGAGGAGTCATTCTTCCGCTCTGCTCTGCACTGGTTAGGCCTCAGTTGGAGTCTATCTACAAAAGCAGTTTCTCCTCTCTTGGTGTTCACACCTCCAGACCAGCTGCTAGAAATGGGCCTCATCCTCCCTGCTTGAATTAACCTCGTTATCTCTAGCCTGATTCTGGCCTGCATATTTATACCTGGCTCTGGAATTTCCATGACCTGCATCTGACGAAGTGGGTCTTTGCCCATGAAAGCTCATGCTCCAATAAATAAGTCTATAAGGTGCCACAGTACTCCTTGTCCCAACTGGAGTCTTGTGTCCAGTTCTGGGCCCCACATTTCGGGAGAGTTGTAGAGAAATTGGAGAGGGTCTGGTCCAGAGAAGAGCAACAAAACCGATTAAAGGTCTAGAGAACATGAGCTATGAGGGAAGACTGAAAGAACTGGGCTTGTTTAGAACAGAGAAGACAGAGGGGGGACATGGTAGCCGTTTTCAAGGATCTAAAAGGGTGTTATAAGGAGGAGGGAGAAAAATTGTTCTCCTTGGCCACTGATAGTAGGACAAGCAACGGGCTTAAACTGCAGCAAGGGAGGTTTAGGTTGGACATTAGGAAAAACTTCCTGCCTGTCAGGGGGTCAAACACTGGAATAAATTGCCCAGGGAGGTTGTGGAATCCCCGTCTCTGGAGATATTTAAGAGCAGGTTGGACAGACATCAGTCAGGGATGATCTTCTAGACAGTGCTTGGTCCTGCTGTGAGGGCAGGGGACTGGACTCGATGACTCTCGAGGTCCCTTCCAGTCCTAGTGTCTGTGATTCTGTTAGGAAAGGGAGGCAGCCTCAAACTTCCCCAGCTTGCTGTTGGCATTCAGAAAAGACCCAGAACAGTGAAGAGAGGACAGGTCCGTCAATGAGCATTAGCCAAGATGGTCAGGGACGTAACCCCATGTCTTAGGTGTCCCTAAGCCTCTGCCTGCCAGACGAGGGGCATGAACAACAGAGGATGGATCACTTGAAAATTACCTGTTCTGTTCATTCCTTCTGGGGCATCTGGCATTTGCCACTGTTGGAAGACCAGATACTGAGCTAGAAGGGCCTTTAGTCTGACCCAGTATGGCCATTCTTCTGTTCATATATTTGACAAAAGCTTTAACTTCACTAATTAAAATGCTGAAATATAAATAATGTGCCTTGAGTAAAACAATGAGACATTAGCAAGGTTACCATTTATCTGTCAAATGGCAATCAATTTAGATGGCCAAAGGAGGTTATATTATTCCAGCACTGCAACTTCTGTATCAATATTGACATTTGCATGTGAATAGAGACGATGATGGGGAAGGATCCCACGTCCCCCCCTGGCTCCGCGCTGCCCGGCTTCCTCACGCTCTGCCTCCTGCTGTGGGCTCCCAGGCTGGCCCCAGGTAGGTGCTCCGGCCTCCTCCTTGCTGGATGGCCATCCTCGTCTGCTCAGCCCTGCCAAGGACACTGAGGCACAGCTGGGGGCCCAGTAACCGCGTCTGCTACCAACACAGGACTCCTGGGGTGTCCCCGTGGTGCTTCTGTAACCCACACACTTCCAGGTGTGGGGCACGGCACTAGCTAGTGGCACTGAGGCCCGTTCCTGCGTCAATAATGTGTCTGCCCTACAACCGTAGCTGGGCACTCGCTGGCTTTTTCGCTCACCCTCCTGCACTAATGGGCGCTCGCTGGCTTTTCACTCACACGGGAGCGTCTCCTGCACGAACCTCCAGAGGCCCCTGGTTCGCATTCGCCTGGGGGTGGTTATGCAGGCGCCCCGGGAGGCCAGGCTCCCCGGTTTCCTTTCTCGATGGGGGGGGGAGCAGCAGAGAACCGGGCGCAACATGAAATGAGTTTAGCTCAGTGCGAAGGGAGGGCTGCACAGATCCCCTCCCCCGTTAGCAACGACGCGCCCCAGCTGGAAACAAGAAAAGTGTCGCCCCGGAAAGCCGGAGGCAGATGTTTCAAATGGGAACAAAGTGACCCAGGATGGGCCCTTCAGGAACTAAACCGAACACGCTCCCTCCCCTTAGCGCCTGACGCACGTTGGCTACAGCTGATAGTTCTCCCCTAAACACTGTTCCAGACACAGACTGTCCTAGGCCAGGCCCATCTTTCCAGCTGTCCCCTCCTCCCCACTCGGATCCAGCGTTTGCTGACAAGTGAGCACTGCAAGATGTATACTTGGGGGACGCTCACATCCACCTGACGACTGCTCTGTTTATTTCTGTATTCCCTCCATCTGTGGTTCTTATGGGTATCTTTTTGGGGGTTGGGATAGCAACCTGTGCCATGGGGGAGGGTTCCCCCATCCTCTTCAGAATTTCGCAACATCAGAGCAGCCAGACTGGGTCGGACCAAAGGCCCCTCCAGCCCAGTGTCCTGTCTGCCCACAGTGGCCAACACCAGGTACCCCAGAGGGAGTGAACAGAACAGGGATTCCTCCCGTCACCCATTCTCAGCCTCTGAAAAACAGGCTAGGGGCACCATCTCTACCCATCCTGACTCAGCCATTGATGGGCCAGACCTCCATGAATTTATCTTGTTCATTTTTGAACCCTGAAATCCTGGTTGGCACAACATCCTCCGGCGAGGAGTTCCACAGGTTGACTGTGCGCTGTGTGAAGAAAAACTTCCTTCGGTTTGTTTTAAACCTGCTGCCTGTGCATTTCACTGGGTGACCTGTAGTTTGTAGATGGTGGGAACAAGTAAATAACTTTTCCTTATTCACTTTTTTTGCATCAGTCAGGATTTTATAGACCTCTCTTCTATCTCTTCCCCTCAGTCTCCTCTTTTCTAAGCTTAAAAGTCCCAGGCTTTTTAATCTCTCTTCCTATAGAACTTGTTCCTAACCCCTCAGCATTTTTGTTGCCCATTTTTGAACCTTTTTCCAATGCCAGCTGATACTTCTGAAGAAGAGGCGAGCACGTCTGCACGCAGGATTCAAGCTGTGGGCGTCCCATGGATTTACACAGAGGCAATAAGAGATTCTCCATCTTATTCTCTGTCCCGTTTTTCATGATTCCTAATGTTATCTGCTTTTTTGATGGCTGCTGCACGTGGAGTGGATGTTTGCAGAGAACTACCCACAGTGACTCCAAGATCTCTCTTGAGTAGCCAAATTACTCTCCATCCCATCGACTGTCAAGTTGGGATTCTTTTTTCCAATCTGCCGTGTTTTATTTTTTCCAATGTGCCATTTACAATCCCTGAAGGGTGGGGCAGGTCACAGCTCCAGGGAAGTACCAGCCCAGGGAGAATTGCATGAACTGCATTAGACCAGACCCCAGAAGCCCAAGAAAACAAAAGCGTTTGGGTATAAAAGCTGGATGTGAACTGCTCAGGGGCTTCAAGGTGCCGCAGGACTCCCCGTTGTTTGTGCCGACACAGACTAACCTCTGAAAGTTTTCTCCTTGTCCGTTTCCCAGCACAGTTCACAGTGACAGGAAGTGAATGCCCCATCGCCGCCTCCCTGGGTGGGGAGGCCGTCCTGTCCTGCCACCTCTCCCCCCGGATGAGCGCCGAGAGCATGGAGGTGAGGTGGTTCCGATCCCGGTTCTCTGCAGTTGTGCATGTGTACCGCGACGGGCAGGACCAGTTCGGAGAGCAGATGCCGGAGTACCGAGGGAGAACGGAGCTCTTGAAAGACAACATCACCGACGGGAAAGTTTCCCTGAGAATACGCGATGTCCGGCCCTCCGACGAGGGGCAGTACACGTGTTTGTTCCAGTCCAGTGTCTCTCATGAGGATGCTTCATTGGAACTGCAGGTGGCAGGTCAGTAACGTTGTTTCGTAAACTCTCAAAAGCCCCAACTCATGCTCGGATTGTCTTGCAAACTACTATGACTCGCCGGAGTCTGAGGTGGGGTTAGTGGCCCAAATTTGACATTTGAGCCGGGGGTGAATGAGACACAAACACCCCTAACCGGTCAGGTGACATTTACACGTTGTGGTTATTACCGTTACTTGGTGCATGCCTGGGGTTGAACTTTCCCCTTCCCTAGTGACTGGAGATCACTGTCGTGGCCGACCCCAGGCTGCTGACAGTCCCCATGGGCAGGGACACAACCTGCACTGCTTAGCGCTGAAATGAGGCGAGATTGATCCGTCAGGGTATCTCTGCCCCTCCACAGAGCAGAGCAGCAGCTCTGCCAATAGGCTCTGATATTCCCTGCGTTAGTCATTACAGCTACGCCGAGCCGTGAATGCAGCGGCAGCGCATGCTGCCAATTCCCAGGGGGCGCTGCCAGCTTCCAAGGGGCAGAGTTAAGGTTATTTGGTGTTAACCAGGAAATCCATAGTGAAGGTTTTCAGAGATGTTTGAGTTTTGCTGAACTCAGCCATGTGGCGGGACAGGAGATAACTCTGGTTAAGGTGGCCAGGAGGTAACTACAGTTTTTGTTAGTGAATGGAGATGAGATCACACAATTACAGGAAGGTGCTGTTGTTTGTGCAGTGTCCCGCAGATTGGAACTGCAGCGTTTGTCTGCTTGCCCTGCTGCCGCAGCCCCTGTGTGGAGTGAGAACTTTACCTCATTCTCCCCATTTTACAGATGGGAAACTGAGGCGGGTAGCTGCACTGTGCATTGGAGTCGGCACAGAAACCCTTCCATATACATGGTTGCAATGAATTTTAAGCTGTCACATGTTGTTTGTTTTGCACTGCAGCTGGCACACAACAACCCCGGATTCCCCACCCCATGTGTGTTTCTTCTGTCTGTCACAGTCCCTTCTCAACCCCCCCTAACCCTCCTCCCCCACACTCTGACAACCCCTCCCA